TCCAGTGGTATTTCAACTATCGCTACCGATTCCTCTAAATCTGCCCTTCTTAAGCATCGCTTTATCGCTACACTTATTTCATCGCTAATAAAGGGCAAGATAAACGGGATTTTGTTCCGGCAAAACCCTTCGTTTTGGGGCGTCGCTCTCCTTCCAAACTTATCCGGTGGGGTTACTATTTCGTAGCCACTGGAGATGGCTATTTCCCGAGCCAAGTTTCGCGATTTTTCCCTTAGTTCCCTACTTGTACACACAGAGGTAGCTGTTCGAAACATGTTTCTCACGAGCGCCCTCTTTGTGTGTGAAGAGTGGGAAGAAAGGAAATGAACGAGGATGTTCTTCTTACTTGGCTTTCGGTACCAATTTACCGAGTAACCGCTACTTGATAGGTTTATTTGAACGTTCAAAACAGAAGCCAGTTTTTTCTCGGTTTCTCCTGGGTGACCTCGATGTACTCAGACTGTTCGTTCAACAATTCGAAGCATTTATCCATCTCCTCTTGCGTAGAGATCATCTATGTACCTGCAGTAGAGTAGTGGCCGGGGATCGAGAACGGGACTTCTTCTTTAGACATAAACGCAATGGCAAGGCTTGGTACCAGTCGCTGTCCCATTGTCAACCCCCTTCTTTGCGCCAAATATTTCCTAGACCATCTGAAAATCGAGCAGTTTAAGCACTCATTAAAGAGAGCCATGAGGGATTGGCCGAAACAAAATCCCGTTTATCCCTTCATTGGCGATGAAATAAGTGTAGCGATAAAGCGATGCTTAAGAAGGGCAGATTTAGAGGAATCGGTAGCGATAGTTGAAATACCACTGGATACTCTACGTCGTCAGCTAGTTCGTAACCGCCTGTATGACCGTCTATGTGAAACCCCAAATTGCGTAATTTGCCCTTACGGCAGAGACGGGGACTGCATGAGTTCAGGTGCGATATACCTGATTTCTTGTAGTACTTGAGGAGACGAATATACCAGCGAAACGGCCAGGCTTTTATGTATCCGTATAAAAGAACACCTAGATGGCAAACGAAAATCAAAACAAGGCACGCCACTAGGCACGCATAGGATACAAAAACATAGCGGAGAAGATTTTGATGTAAAAGTCGCTATCATCGCACGGAAGACTGAAACACCAACGTGGATATGTTCCAAAAGTCTGAGAATGAATAACAGGGAAGAATGCCCTGAGATAACGCGAGATCTAGCCCCGTATTTCAGAACTGATTTTTGATGTGGGGTGGTGCAGCAGTCAACCATATGTGATTCTAAGCGGCTGTTCTTCCTCGGTGGAAAACAGATAAAACGGTGGGTTTTTCGAGAAGCCGATGATCGTGTAATTGTTGTCCAGGTTTTCATCTCTCGGTTTGCGTTGTTGAAGCATTTGACCTAGTAAATTACATATCAGTGTACCTTTCTAGGCTCTGAAGAAGGCGATACTGCTGAAAGGTCAGCTACCGTTGTGTTGCATGTGTTATATTTGTAAGGAAGTAAAGGTTTGCGGAATGGCAACCTCGTGATTGCTGTAAAAAAGAGGACAAGAGACTTATAATCCAATGCCGAGGTCTTGTGACTTCAATATTTGAAATCATCATTTAAAGGAGAATCGCCCATATGGAGAATTCATACACACACACATACAATTCATAAGCGTAAACTTCACGGAAGCATCTTAAGAAATTTATGGGTGTAGGAAGATTTCGTTTCAGAAAAGGGTAGGCGCGACGCAAGGTAACACGACTTCTACGACTTGCACTTCTTCGCGATGGTATAGAACGAATGTGATTGTTGTCTTAATTATTCTGAATAAATGAAACAGTATCAAACGAACTGAAAAGATGTTATCCTAATGGTACCGGATTTTAATTCGACCGGAAAACTTAATAGTCCACGCTTGCGGTGGTTGAAGTACGTATTCAATGCTACAGTAATCGGCGAGAAGTGTTCTTAGTGTATCTGGTGAAATACGGTGAAAAACTTAAGAACTGGTACCACGCAAGAGATTTTGGAAAGTAAACACGCAGTTCCTGTCTAGATTTCTCAGCTTTAGAGTCCAATGAGCTCCTTCTTGTGGGGTCAACAGTCAGTCGCTAAAAGTGTTCCTGTAAAACTTGTTCAACTGCACTTCTTAGTACATTTATTACGTTTACTGTTACTGCACTTCTTACCACCGTCAAATAAGAACGGTAGAATGAAGGATATCCTATCCAATAGTCCTATTAGAACGCCGAAAATTTCAACGGAATCAAAGAATCTTCGTATGTATGCGGAAAATGGATCGTATGGGAACTGGCTCAATATCATGCGATAAATTCAATCCTTTTGCGATTACCTCGAAAAGAACATTTAGTGCATTACAAGAAAGAACATAAGGAAGATCAGAAAACAAAACCCAACACTTATTGATGTGGAGATTACATTTGCGTATCCGTAAAAATCATTCAACCCATAACGCTCCGGCGCCATTTCGCGCGCGTGGCGCAGAAGCGATCACGAGCAATTTTTCGTCGGCTACGGACTTTCTGATTTTTTCTTGCGAATAAAAAGCAATTTCTCAATAACTACAGTGCCTTAAGAGTTGTAAACATGGCAAAATGGTAGAAGAGGCTTTGTTCTATGGTTTGATGGGTTTGAGTGATATGCACTCTACTACTTACTGTGTGCTACTGCGGTCCATTATAAAAATACATTGCTGTCAACGCTTCGAAGCAACTTGCAGCTACTTTGGGTCTACTAGGATGTTTTTTTATATCCTCACAATCTATAAAATAACCACAGTGATTGAAATGATATAACAGCTAATTGTTGGTCATATCACCCTAATGAACCTTCCCAAAAAAGGTTTTTTGTAAATCATTAAGTCTAGCAAATGATTTTTCTAGTCCCACGCCTCCTACTTCGATTTCCTTAAGATTAACTACCGAATGAAAACACGTAGTGCGGAGGAAAAAAAGAACTCTGGAACCCACCGAAAAGTGTAGGCACTATACTGTTCATATGTTCCCTTGGTCAAAATCGCTATGGCCACCATAGTGTCCACACAGAGCTTTAAGCGCTAAATAAAGCTTTATCTGAGAATAAAAGAAGAATAATCCTAAACTCGATACACCAATTGTCGACGCTGAACGACATGATCAGAAAAGCGGCTGCATTTTAACGCGCTCCATTCCAGTTTCGTTCTACAGCAATTCGGCGGGAAGTAATTGTTCGAACTGACGCGGACGCACCACGCGCGTCGGTTGGACGCATTCGGCGATGGCGGAGGATAGCAGAGCTTCTTCGATTCATTTTCACATTTAGCTCTATTTTTCTTCCAAACAATAGCTCTTACTCGTATTTTTAGACTTTTAATACTGTCCTTCTCTGAGCAAATGTATGGCATGTCACTTCTGTCATCTATAATCCCGTTAAATCACTGTGTAACTTGAGAGGAAGCCAATGGGCTATCCATCCGTTCAGCGTGTCCATTAAAGTTTCCATGCCACATTCAATTGACGTACATGAAGAAGATCACGCGCTTTTTCAGAAAATCGTCTTTGATTATTTCTTTTTTTTTCTTGAGAGGAAAAGAACGCCCAAGTAGCTTACCCCACCGTGAGCATAGCCATGTTTCGAGATACAGGTTTCGAACTCCTTTTCAGTTCATTTATCCTGTCGGGCGATGAATCTCCTGTTGTAAATCAGTTTCCGATATGTAATATCATACTGTTTGCACGTTATTTGGATACTTGTGTGACCCGCCTGACTGCACAGGCCCCACCTTAGTTTTCATTTTTCTGCATTTTTGCTGGGTTAACCATTATGGCTCCCTGAAGACCCGAGGACAGCCTGGCCAAAGTCTGCCGCATTTCGTCATCACCATGGGCATTCGCCGTGCTTGTGAATCAGAGGAAGATTTGCCACTATGCAACTAGCTTGATACTAGGATAGTGGTGGATCCTGGTATCGGTTTGCTCTTAGTTGGGCTTCCTGGTGGAAACACACGGGCTCCTCAGCTCGGCGGAGCTTGCTGGGATAATGAATTCCTCTGCTGTACATCGCAGTCCGACAGCCAGGAACACCTAGCCACGACGAGACGGTAATCCGTTTGGAGGAGTTACGTACGAGCGATGGTTTCAGTTTACTGGTGCTCGTTTTTGATTTAGTAACGAGTATGTCCGATGGAAGTTTTTGAGATTAGTGGTTGAAAATAACAGAGGGAGGGATCGGAAGCCACATCTGGATATGACTTCGTCTTCATGGCACATCCAAATTCCTACTCCATATGCTTATTTTTCTAATTACAGGGAAGGCTTTTACCTCGTCCAACTTCTGTCATTTGTCGTTTTTTTTACCTTGTTCATTAAGGTTCCATTGTTTGCTATTTGTTAAAAACCCTAGGCTTCCTAAGCTTCATGGCAAGGTTAAGCACGAGTAGTCATTTCCTTGTGTACATCAAACACCTGTTCGGTGTGAAGTTGATTTAAACCTGTGCCTTTTTTCGAAATATGGTTTACATAACAAGGGAAACCACTCTGGCTACTAATTCAGTGGATGTGAGCTTTGTGCCGTCGCAAACTATGGAACAAATTTCATTCCTCCTTATTTCTGCCCGTTGTGAAGTTCGGCTTGGTGTCAAATCATGCTATTTTGGTTTTAGAAAATCGGGTTATCACTTCATCAGTGATTTATAGCGGCTTTCTTGTAGGCAAAGTACTGAACTATTTGTCAGTCATATAGATAGCCGCGGGAAGAACTTTCAATCAGGAAAGGAGCTTCAGTCAACTGTTTCTTCAAGGGCGCTTAAACATCTTGCTTTCCGGATTTTGAAGGGTTCATCCTCCGTATTATTTCCCTGATCACCCACACCATTTGGATTTGAAGTATTCTATATTTTATTGTTTTACTTCTTCTGTTTTTTTAAAGCTGACACAACGTGGTTTCTCTGAGGTCAAGCGGATTTTTTCTCGTTTCATTTGATCCATATACTGGCAACTCAAGTCTTTCAGTGGGAAACTTGAAGATGAGTGACAGCGATGACAGTGACTTCTTTGTTGATGATTCTCCCAAAAAGAAGGGACCATCTAAAAAAACGTCAGCAGAGAAAAAGGTTTCTGCCAAACCAAAACCATCTAAAGAGAAACAAGAAAAAATAGGTCCGCCTTTGTTAGATGTTTCAAGACTCTCCAATCTGAAATATGAAAGTATCTCCGATCAACTTTTACTTTCTTTTTGCAGCTGATATTTCTGCAACTTTGACGGAAGAGGACAAAAATGTTTTTACAAATATCGACCAAGCTGCAAAATCTGGAAAGAAACTGGCAATTGAGGATATATACCAGAAAAAATCACAGCTTGAGCACATTCTTCTTCGCCCTGATACCTATATCGGGTCTGTTGAGTATACCGAGAAAACAGTACGTTTCTGATTTTAATCAGTTCAGATGGATTCTTTAAGAACGTTAACCAACCTGAATTTTTATCTTTTAGTGTTTATTCTTGAGCCTAAAGTTGAGACCCCCGTACTCGGCCTGTTGCTGTTACTCGACCGTAGGCACTTCGGTGACTGTTTTCCCATCAGCTGAATGCAAGAGGGGATTTAAAAATGTTTTGAATTGCTAAATCAGCAGTCAAAGTACATGAATTTCACACAGGAGGGGCGGAAGAATGGCTGGTTCCGGTTTTTGAACGTTCACATTATCCTATACAAAGACGCCTACATCACAAATTGGTGCCAGAAGCGAAGTAACAAAAACATATTGATACAGTATGTCTCATGTCACGTGGGAAAAAAGGTGCTTATGAGAAACATGTTTCGAACAGCTAACAATGTGTGCACAGGAATAGGGTAGAGGAAGGAATCCTCTAAATTGGCAGGGTAAATAGCCATTTCCAAAGGCTAAGAAGCGATAGTTTAACTAGCCCCTCATCTCAAACGAAGTAAGCACGGCTATAAAAGTATGATTTGAGTGGACCTGTCTGAAGAACTTTGTAGTAATGATGTAGATGCGACTAAATACTTTAAGACATCGGCTAGTTCGCAATCACTTGTGTGACCGGCCATACATAACGCGAAATTGCCTAATATGCCCAAACGGTAGAGACGGCGGTGATTGCTTGAGTTTGAGGACGGTGTAGCTGATCAGTTGTGGGGCACGTGGGGGAATGTATTAGCGGAACGGGTAGACCATTGTGCGTCCTTATAAAAGAACATATACCACGTAAATTTGAAGTTGAACTAAATACTCTACTAGACATTTGTGGGATGTAGGGACATAGCGGAGAAGACCTTCTTGGATTGTTAACTAACACGAGGTTTGTAAAGATGTTTATTCCATTAATGTTTCGATGTATTCGCCTTCATCAGAGCCGATGATCTGAGTCGATGGTCCACAGTAGTTCGTCTTCTCGATGTGGAGTCTTCCCCTTTCGTATCAAGTCGAACTGCGTCAGTTGAGCACCGCTCGAATGAGGGAACTACACCCGGCAGCTCTCTTTTATACAGAACTGAGTGCACTCAGACTGGTTATTCAATAGCTTAATAGTTTTGGGTTGCAAAACACAAAACTGTGTTTTGGAAGAAGCTGTTTTGTAATGCCGGTGGAAATCCATGTAGTGACTTTTTTTCCGTTTTGTAGTGTGGAAGTTCTTGACTGAGTAGATTGGGTTTCAGTTTAGCCTTTTTCCGGATATGAAATAGGCGAAATCGCCGAAATATCTGCCAATATTGAGCAAATTTTGTTTTCGACAACCTCGTGGCTACTTAAGAATAAAACGCTAAAAACTGCCTTGGTAAATAGAAAGTCGGTCCTTGGGCTTGCTTAATTTTTTTTCAGTCGATGTGGGTTTACGACCGAGAGGAAGAAAAACTCGTTATGAAGGACATCCAGTATGTACCTGGCCTGTATAAGATTTTTGATGAAATACTTGTGAATGCAGCTGATAACAAACAGCGCGACCCTAAGATGAACTGTATCAAGATCAACATTGATAAGTAAGTTTCTAAACTCTGCATCTGTTTTATATTGTATTTGAAGAAACTTTTTTAACAACAAGCATGTGGCATGAGTGGATCAGGTGCTAGTACTGAACCTCTTTCGTTCAGTGTGCAGGGAAACCATACCAGATTTCGAAATTACATACGAGTAGCTTACGGTATTCTGCTGTTAGTACCGCGTGTGCTTGTGGAACTGTTCGAACACTACTGGGGTAGATGCGTAGCTTATATGTTCCTTGGCGGTGGTCCTGAATCGTCTGTATTGTAATTTGTAGTCGTTTAACTGCAAGATTTGTGCCGAGTCAACCTGGACATTTCAATCTGCCTATACTAGCATATACATGAGCGTGACGACTTGCCTAGGGAAGAAATAAGTCGTTGCAATAGCACAGGTAAGATGCTTATCGCCTTGAAGACATCTGCATCTCAGGGACAACTACAAGGTGCTTGTTGGTTTGCGTTCCAACCTCTTTATGACCTGGACCCGCGATACCTGGCATCGCAATGAACTAGGTCGAAATCGTTCGCATGATAGTACACTATGTGTATTATAAGTTGGACTGAATAATTTGAAATGTAGTATAGCAAATGAACCATGTAATTCAATTCTCTGGTCATATTAAATTTAAGAGAGAAGAATCAGATCTCGATATTCAACAATGGGAAAGGAATTCCAGTAGTTCATCACAAAGTTGAGAATATGTATGTGCCTGAAATGATATTTGGAACTCTGCTTACGTCGTCCAATTACGATGACAGTGAAAGAAAAGTGAGTGCCTCCTTCCAATTTCAACTTTAGAGCTATATTAGGCAGAGATTTGAATGCATTACTTTCTTATACAGGTCACAGGTGGTCGTAACGGTTACGGTGCGAAGCTGTGCAATATATTCTCAACCGAATTTACCCTCGAGACATCATCGAAAGAATACGGAAAAGCTTTTAAGCAGGTAAGGGTTATTTTCTTTAATAGCTCTTCTCAGGTATTTTTGTTGATATTTCCTTCAGACATGGATCAACAATATGACCAAAGACAAGGATCCACAAATCGTCAAGGCTTCAGGAGATGATTACACAAAAGTGTTGCTAAAAACGTATTTTGTTCTTTCTTGAAATTTGGAAAAGTGGAATTTGTTCTTTAGGTGACATTCAAGCCTGATCTTTCCAAATTCCGGATGGCAGAGTTAGACGACGACATAATTGCTCTAATGTCTCGTCGTGCTTTTGATGTTGCTGGTAGTACTAAGGGTGTAAAGGTGTTCCTCAATGGCAAAGTATTACCTGTAAGTTTTTGTTTTCATCTTTATTTTCTTCTAAAATGTTTACACAACAACACAAAGCACCGCGGTGGACGATCCTTAAGTAGAATTATTTACTGATTTATTAATTGCATATTTTTTTTAAAGGTCACCAGTTAGTTAAGGAATCGTAGTTGGAAATATCGTCTATATGTATTTAATTAATTGATGTCGCAGGTGCAAGGGTTCAAGCAATATGTCGAGCAGTACACTAAGGATATCACAGGACCAACTGGAGAGCCAGCGAAGGTTGTTTATGAGTCGGTAAGTTTACTGTTTGCATCTTATCGGCAATTTTTAGAATTAGGGTTGTAACCATAGTGATGTTGAGATATTTACAACACTTTAAAGTAAATAAAAAGTTAGCTATTGAAATTATACTTTTCCTACATTACTTTTTCTTATAGTTTGGTTTGCCAATGTCTTATATCTATCGAATTCCCAATGTTCACCTTTCATTTTATTAGTGTACACTAGAAATACACTCTTTCAAGGTGAACGATCGCTGGGAAGTAGCTCTCACTGTATCGGAGAAGGGCTTTCAACAAGTGTCATTTGTTAACAGTATTGCCACTATGAAAGTACGCTTTGCGTTGAACTTAAATCTAATAGAACTTGTGGTTTTGCTGATGAACGACTTTTAGGGAGGTCGTCATGTGGATTACGTCGCAGATCAGATGGTTTCAAAGTTGATTGACGTTATAAAGAAGAAAGTAGGAAAGAGTACTGTGAATGTGAAGCCATTCCAAGTATGACTTGTTCTCAACGTAACTTTTCCATCCATGACTTAGTTCCATGTTTGTATCTGCAGGTGAAGAACCATATGTGGGTGTTCGTAAATTGTTTGATCGAGAATCCGACGTTTGATTCACAAACGAAAGAAACGATGACCCTACAATCGAAATCGTTTGGATCGAAATGCGAACTCAGTGAGAAGTTTACCAAACAGGTAGTCTCTTTCTTTGAGCAGATTTTAGTTATTGTGTCACCTTGTGACAAACTTTGGAGCCGAAAGGATGTAAAATAACCAGAACGCATAAGATTTTGAGTCCACTTAGCAAACGTTGGCGAAACTGCTTTCTTATTTATCCGAATCTTTAGGCAATTAACTGTGGTGTTGTGGACGCTGTGCTTGCATGGGTAAGATTCAAGCAACAAGAAGATATGAACAAAAAGTGCAGTGGAAAGAAGGCCACAAAACTGAAGGTAGTCATAAAACGAAGTTGTTAGGATTGCGTCGTTGCAGTGGGCTTCTAGTATGTTTTAGGGCATTCCAAAATTGGAAGATGCCAATGATGCCGGCACGAAACACTCCCAACTCTGCACATTAATACTTACTGAGGGGGATTCGGCCAAAACTTTGGCTGTTTCTGGCTTGGGCGTGGTAGGACGTGACCGTTACGGGGTATTTCCACTTCGTGGTAAGCTACTCAACGTTCGAGAAGGAAACATTAAGCAGGTGGTGTCTGCTTTAAATTCTCGATATTTCACTTTGTAGTGTTGAATTTTCGCCTTTCATGAATGTTGGAAATAATGGTCTTCTGGTTCTGAACTGTGCCTTAAGGTGGCGGAGAATGTTGAAATCAACGCACTGATAAAGATAATCGGTCTGCAATACAAAAAGAAGTATGAAACAGAAGAGGATTTCAAGTCACTGCGTTATGGAAAAGTTATGGTGATGGCCGACCAGGTTAGCTCCTAGCGGCTCCTGTATTGTGGTCTTTCAGGGAAACCTGTTCATTATGATGAAAAATTTGCAGTGAAGGACATGTGTTCCTCCTACCTGTAAGGATCAAGTGGTCAGTGATGATCGTCGTATTCGTAGTATGAATGTTTCGGTCACATTTGTTTCCTTATCGACAAGCGTATCAAGATAGGGATTGAAATTGCGACCAGAAAAACAGTACTCCTCTTCAGAGATGTTGCACTAAGGGTTTTAGCAACGTATAAAGGCGCGGAGTTACAAAAACCTCTCAGTATCGAGGTTTTCAATGATTACGAAAAGGCGAATCTGAGACCGAGAAGATTCATTAAGCAGGCGTATGAATAAGAGCTCGGGCCGCATGTAGTTTTCGATATAGATCCTTTAAAGATTTTTTTCAAAGCTATAGGTAACAGAATTAATGGTGTTTTTTATAAGGTCAATCTATGGTTGAATTATTCAATTGAAGATCAATGTAGAACGTGTTGTAGGATCAAGACGGTTCTCATATCAAGGGGCTAGTAATCAACTTCATTCACCATAACTGGCCAAGTCTAATTCAAAGGAATTTCGTTGAAGAATTTATCACTCCCATTGTGAAGGTGGGTCTTCTCGGTGTATTTTCAAAAGAAAATGCTATTGTCAGTTGAAATATCTAGGCCACAAAAGGGAAAGAGGAGCTTTCCTTCTTTTCCATCCCGGAGTATAATGAATGGAGGAATAGTACGGAGAACTGGAAAACGTATAAGATCAAATACTACAAAGGTTTAGGTAAGATAACAGTTATGAGTTAGTCTACTAAGGGATACCTTTGTATTCACAGTGAATTTGGCTTTACTACAGGTACATCTACATCTAAGGAGGCAAAGGAGTATTTCTCCGATATGGTTCGACATCGCATTCGCTTTAAATATGGGGGTGTTGAAGACGACAATGCGGTTGACATGGCGTTTTCTAAAAAGAAGATCGAAGAAAGAAAAGTGAATTTAGAGTTTTATTGGTGGTGGTAGTAGCGTTAGCCGGTATGGCAATTGTATTAATTTCAGGACTGGTTAACCAAATGGATGGCAGAAAAGAAAGAGCGTCGCACACGAGGGTTGGAGGAGGAGTATCTCTACAACAAAGATACTCGCGCAGTAACATTTAGTGATTTTGTTAATAAGGTTAGTGTTAATCAGTATTCCCATTTGTATCGTGCCACGATGATTGTTTAACAGATAAAAGTTTAAAATGCTTATTCGTAAGAGTGAAATAGTAAAGTCTTTTTTGACAAGTGTGTAAACTTGTGGATTGAGAGAGGCATATGTAGAGCAGTGATTAGAGGCGCCTTGCAATACGTATGGGACCGGTCCCACCGCTCAGGCTCACCAAGTCTTCCATCTCTTCGGGGTCGGTAAATTGATACCAGAGTTATCTGGGAGGATAGCAACACTGACTCGATACATTGGTTGGCTAGATATGAATTCAGTCACCTGTAGCGATGCTTAGTGAAATCGAATGCATGGTGCACCCCTCAGAGATTGAACAACGTCGGGAGCTTTATCCTTCTATCCTTTATACAACATTGTTCCTCGAGTTCTAAATATGGGCAAATTACAGGGAAATGTCAAAAAAATGTAGTGGCGTCACGAATGTGTTAGAGTATTCATTGGTGGGAATAAAATACACTATCATTTAACATTCCTCTATAACTATAGGAGCGAGTGTGGAGCAGTGGTTAGAGGTGACCGCAAAACACACCCGGTCATTGGTATTCGATTCCTCGCCACATAATCTCTGCCATGAAAAAAGAATAGACAGTAAATAAAAAGTGACTACATTGTGTTAAGGAAGTTGAATGCATGATCGACTTTTTAGCGATTGGTCAACATCGACAATTTTATCTTTAACATTTGCCGTGTTACATAATAACAAAGTCGCAGAAGGCTCTGACATTACGGGCTGTTCCTCTTCTCTTCACTTATATATGATTTTCAGAATAGTCACTATTTAGGAACTGGTTCTATTCTCAAATACAGACAATGAACGTTCGATTCCTAGTCTCGTCGACGGTTTCAAACCTGGTCAGCGAAAGGTATGGACCATAGTTTTATAAATCCTATGTAGTTGTGATATTGCATTTGATTGTATTGTGTATACCTCTTTCTTTAGGTGGTGTTTGCTTGTTTCAAACGTGCAGATAAGCGTGAAGTGAAGGTAGCTCAGCTGGCGGGTGCTGTTGGTGAACTGTCAGCTTACCACCATGGTGAAGCCTCATTGATGGGCACTATTATCAATTTGGCCCAAGTGAGTGGACTGACGTCATTGGTTGACATACGACACTTTCAATTAAACTTTTTAGGACTTTGTTGGATCCAACAACGTAAATTTGTTGTTGCCTATCGGTCAGTTTGGTACACGTTTACAAGGAGGGAAAGATAGTGCATCGCCTCGTTACATCTTTACACAACTTAGGTAAAAGCTTCTTAACGTGTTGCTTTCAATGTCAGTACCCGTTTTTGTACAGCATTTTTCATTAAATTTGATCAATTTCCAGTCCTGTCGCCCGTACGCTTTTCCCTGTCGTTGATGATAACATATTGCGCTTTTTGTTTGAAGAGAATCAACGCATAGAACCTGAGTGGTACTGCCCAGTAATACCACTAGTTCTGGTTAATGGCGCTTCAGGTGTGTTCTGATTTTTCAGATTTCTTCAGGTAATTTGGTTCTTGCTGTTATTGAGCACATTATCATCTCTAAAGATAGTTTTTGTCTTTAAAATGTGTATATTATGTCGAGTTTCAAGATATGAGTTTTGCATTTTGAGGTATCGGGACTGGTTGGTCTACATCCATCCATAACTACAATCCTCGCGAAATTTGTGAAAATATGCGGATGCTAATCCGAGGGGAACAACCTAAGCCTTTAGTTAGTGGTTTCATGCTTTTCTTTTCACTTACTGGGCATCCAAATTTTTCTAGCTTTGTAATTACATGAATTTGTCGTTAAATTGTGGTCATCTTATTGTTCAGGCTCCGTGGTTCAAAAATTTCCGTGGGACAATTGTGCAACTTGATCCATCCCGTTATGTTTGCTCTGGTGAAGTTGCGGTGCTTAGTGATGATACAATTGAAATCACAGAGCTGCCGATAAAGACATGGACACAAACGTACAAGGAGCAAGTGTTGGAACCGATGCTTGAATCAAACGACAAGAAACCTGCAATTATCAGGTGAGGAATAATGTTCGCTTATAACGTTTAGGGTTTATTGTTTTAAGTATGTTTTAGTGACTTCAAAGAGTACCACACTGACACAACTGTTCGATTCGTTATCAAGTTGGCTCCTGGAAAGTTGAGAGAACTTGAGGCTGAGGGGCTGCATAGGGTGTTCAAATTGCAAACAGTGCTGAACACTACTTCCATGGTGAGCTTCTGGTTATATGAATCTTCTAGTGAATCGCAAGGTTTCCTTTTTATTTTTAAAAATGTCTTTCTCTATTGCTAGTGAGCTCGAAATACTCTCACCTTGTTTTAGGTGCTTTTTGATGCAATGGGATGTTTGCGAAAGTTCAACACGGTGGAAGAGATTTGCACCGAGTTCTTCGGAACAAGGAAGCAGAAGTACATTGAGAGAAAAGCGTTCATGGAAGGCATGTTGCGAGCGCAGTCAAATCGTTTAAGTAGTCAGGTATTGTTGTCAGAGAATTTTATTTTGTTCTAGTTATAATCTTCTCTCTTGGATATTCTAGGCACGATTCATCCTTGCCAAAATCAATGGCGAAATTTTAATGGAAAACAAACGAAAAGCCGTCATAGTGGATCAGCTTATCAAGAAAGGTGTGCTTCATTATGATGTTTTCCTAGCGGGATAGGATATTTATGTAGTTTAATGAAATAGTTTAGGCTTTGAACCTGATCCCGTGAAAAAGTGGAAAGAGCTGCAGAAGAAAAAAGAGTTAGAGCAGAGCGGCGAGTACGATATGGCCGAGGAGGAAGAGGAAGCTGAGGTTGGTGATGGAGCATATCTCTTGAATGCACGATGCATGAGTAAAAAGTGTATTTTTTCGCTTTGGTTCTAGATACAGATTTCGAAGGCAATTTCTAGGTTAGTTACTGGTCGTTGGCAGTGTTTAGATTAGATTGTGAAACTTTTTGATCCTAAGGAGTCAGATGATTCGATAATATTGGGATTAACCAACAATTTTCGACTTTCGACTTATTGTCTAACTCTTGCGGAAGACATTGTGGTCGAAATCAATTGCTGATTGGTTGTACTGCTTAATTGTCACTAGTTTCCGATAATTTACGTATTGGGGCATTTAAGAACTAATTATACAATTAGAAGCAGTGTTGCCGTCTTTCCCTACTTGTGTCAGTGAGTTTTCTAATTTATTTTTCATGGATATTATTCTCATTTGGAAATCAAATGTTCAAAAAACGAAATTTAAATGTCAATGATGCTGAGATATTCGCAAAACTCCGAGCCACAGGTGTATGCGGTGGGGAACGAGCGCGCCATTGTCCTTTCTGGGGAGTAAAGAAAAGAGTAGGTAGAAAATAATAAGTTAAAATTGAAATTTAAATTATGTTTTCCTTTAAGACACATGTGGCAGCTGAAAACATTAGTGATACAATTGGGAACATTGTCAATTAATAAAGCTTTGAAGCTCTTGGCGTTGATCAATCGCAGAGGGTGCGCTATGCATTCGACTTCATTAAGCATATTCGGAGGTGAGTGAATGCATATCTGACCTTTAACATGACCCACAGTGGCCTACCGATGTATCGAGCTAGTGCTGCTGCCCTCCCAGACAAGTCCGGTACCAATTTGCCTACCCCGGAGGGATGGAGGACTTGGGGAGCCTGTGGCACCGGGGTGGATTCCATGTGCATTGTAGGACGTCTCCGACCACTGCGCCACACGTGCCTCTATATAAACTAATATTAGACGAAATATTTATTTTATTTATATGTGCCGTCTTCATGTCTACTGTGCGGATCCCAGCGCTTCTCACATTCGATTCATTCCTCGCATCCATTATCCACGATGGTCTTCCAACTTTTACGTGTGGCTTCGGTTGCTGCATGAGGATTTTTGTTTCATCTTAGATGTCGTTGAATGCTGATCGAGCAATTCTCCTTGGAACCCTGAGATAGCGGGACCTTAGCGTTCTCAATTGAATTACAGAGATCTTTCCCAGACAAGCCGGGTACTGATTTCGCGACCCCAGAGAGATGAGAGGCCTGGTTGGCCCTGAGCGGAATCGAACTAGCACCCATGGTCGTGATAAAGGATATCACTTCCACTGTGCCATTTTGGTGCCAGCTCCGGAATATTAGACGAAATATGGCTTGTCAAATATCTTGGTTGTTTGAGATAGGAGCTTCAAAGAAAAAGAAGCGAAATAAAGGCGTTTTACAAACCCAAAAAATTAGCATTTTGTATTGTTAGGCTAAGAAGTTCTTGTCTTATTGGTAGAAATTTGTAGATTCTAACGATTTTTATTTAAGTTAATGTAGCTGGTTACATACCTGAGCTGTCTTCAAAGTTGAAAGGCTTTAAAATTAAAAAATATTTCCAGGTGTTTAGTCGAGATATTTGGCGTGCGTATTATATTGGTGTATTTTTTGTTTTTTCGTAGCAGTAATGAGAAAACAGTGCTTCTCAGGAACAATCCAGTATGGGTGACAAGGAACTCCAGGGCAAGCTATCCGACTATGACTACCTCGTCGGAATGGCTCTCATAAAAGTATCTGAGGAGGAGAAGAACAAACTGCTCAAAGAAAGCGAAGAAAAGTTGAAAGAGCTGCGTGAATTGGAGTCGAAATCATGGGCAGACCTATGGAACGCTGATTTAGACGTATTTTTGGCTGCACTTGATAAACAGGTTGTTTCGTTTAAAAGTTTGTCGTTTATTTATCTATGCAACACATTTCGAAGATAATCAATGTCTAGGATTTCTGTACACTTATACCTAGGAAGAAAAAGAAAGAGCGGATCTGGAGTCGAACATCAAAAATGCTGCAAAGAAATTCACAAAGGAGGAAAAACCGAAAGGGAAAAAGGCGGCTGCATTTGCTTCGGTAAATAGCATTTGTTTCACTCAATTTAAATCGTACAATACAGACTGTTATAGGAGGTGTTTCCGTCAAAGGACGGTATTCGTGTTGAACCAGGCATCGACAAGGCGCTCAAAGAAAAATACGATAAGTTGAATGCTGCTGCTGGCAAGGAAAAAAAGCCTAGAGTTCCAAAAGAGCCGAAAGAGCCTAAGAAGCCAAAGAAAGAGAGCGAGGACATTAAGAAATTTATGTCGGTGGGTGGTAAGGTATTTCTAAAGAATCTTTTCATTCCAATTTGTTCTTCATGATTTTCAGGGTGATGCAAGGAGTCCAAAGAAAAAGAAGAGAAAGAACGAGTGGGATTCTGATGCTAGTTCAAGTGAATTTGATGACTTTGATGACGTGAGAGCTTTTTAAATCTCGTCTTTTATAAACATTTTATGGTTTATAATTCTAAATTGTAGTGGAATTTTCATTCTTTTTGCTTATGTACAATTCTATTTTAGCCAGAAGAAAGTGCATTATTTGACGATGATGATGGAGATGTTGTTGAAGTTATCCCAAAGAAAGATCGTGCCGCGAGAGGACCGGTGGTGATTTGAGCAGTAATCTCGTTGTTCTTCTCCATTATTGTTGCTGTTTAGCCAAGGCGATATTATGACATAGATGAAGATTTGGAAAATGGTCATGCCAGTGGTGGCGATTACGATATCAAAATACCTAGTGAAGACTCGCCAGTAAACGTTTGTGGTGTCTTCAAAACTGTTCTTTTATATTTTTAAGAAATCTAGTTAGAATTTGTTATGACCATTTCGCTTCGTCAAGGGTGATAGACTGACACAAAAGCTAGTTTTAATTTTAGGCAGAGCCGACCAAAAAATCTATCCAGAAGAAAAAGAAAGTTATTGGGAGCGACGACAGCTTTGTTAATGACTCCCAAGGAAAAAAGGTTGCTTGGACATTGTCATGAGAAACCAATATTCAGTGGCTTTTTTTCAGTCGACGTCATCCAAAGAATTATCACGAAAGAAGAAGCCTGACGAGAACCGCGAAAGTGAAAATGACGTTGCTTCCAAAAAGAGAAAAGTGGTTGGTCTCATTTGAGTGCTTGCTACCAGTCTTTAACTGTCACGACCGACTTTCTATTAACCTCGGCATTGATCAAGTGATTTTCTTCGTATTTTTGCTGAGCAAACGCGAGGTGTTACT